GCCAGGTAATAGAAAAATGATTTCTTGGTTCGTGGTCACTGAGGCTGTAAGCGGTCTATTATTATCCCAAAGGATCCCTCCCAAGTTCCTCGTAAGGTCTCGAATGTGTTTCTAAAGTTGTGGTCGAATCTGTCATAAGTTCTGTTGCAATGTTCTTTATTTTCCTCTCAATTGCCTAGGTGCCATGGGTTCATTTGAAGTTCTTTTCTCAATTTTTTCTCAAGTTCCCTGAATTTCCAGCTCTCACGTCAACAACAACAATCAAACCCATATCAGGGTTGCCCTCTCTTAATCATACGAGAATAGCTCTAGGGACTTCATTGATTATATGGTAATGACTAGGGTAATGAGCTATTGAAAACCTTCCAGGAAATGTATTCACTTACTTCTTTTCAAATTTTCTCTTCTCCCTCACAGTCGTGACCTTACACCTATATTTAAAATATCGTACCATCATCTTTCAGGCAAATGAATGTAGTTCATCAGACTGTTATGTAACGGAGACCGACATTCACACCAGCGGCTCACGGTACGAAGAATAAGGGTAGCGCACAGGCGCCTGCAATTTTGGCCAGGACATCACCTGTCTCATTGTAAAAATAGATATGGTTGTGTTCAGGGTTTATTTTCGTGGTTTGAGTTCAGACGCCCCGCAAGCGAGGATATAACCTTGTCTCTTTGTAATAGAGGTATACAGGGTCTCACGCTCAAACCATTTGAGATGTAGCCATGAAACCGCTTCCATTTCACTTATTTTGAGGTTCAAACGAATTTTTTCATATACAGGGAAAATAGGCTTTCTAATAATGTATCACATGACCTATGTTGCTATTAAAAAAATTCAAGATGACGGTCGCGCTCAAACATCCTGTATATAAACAAGTTCTCTTTAATCTCAAAATATATAACATAATTTCAAATGGAATTCATTATCTATATCTCAAACCGTTTGTGCGTGAGAGCTTCTGTTCCATCTTTAATAGCGAGATATACGTTTTGCCACCACCAATAGGTACATATATTTCGTCGTCCAGATGTTCATTTTCCTTCTGTGAGTATCTTCTTCCGACACTCCGTTCTCGAGATATTCGTGTTGACTTTATCTATAGATCTTGTCTTTTTCAGACGTTCTACTTTCTCTTTGCCAGTGCCCTCCGACAATTTGTTCTCGAGATATGTGAGTATCCCCTTCCGACACTCCGTTCTCGATATATTCGCACTTACAGTTTAACTCTGCCGTTAGGCATGTTTTGTCCAGACGTTCTCTCTGTGAGTACCCCCTTCGACCAGAGACTTGTTACCCTCCGACACGCCGTTCATGAGATATTCATTTTGACTTCTCCAATAGTTTTGCTTTGGTCAGGTATTCCACTAGCCCTTTGTGAATACCCTCCTCCGACATTTCATTTTAGAGATATTCGCAGTTAAAGTTCTGACATCGTGAATAGATGTGTCTCGTCCAAACTGCACTTTTTGACTTTTCTTACTCTTGTCCGACACTCTGTTCTCGAGATATGAGTTTTAACTTATCTCGAAAAGAAGTTGCAGATGAGGCCACTAGAAATAATTATTGCTGTTGAGACTTTTCATTTGAGTATCATGAAGGATAATACCCCCCCCCCCCCCTCTTTCCCCCATTACATAAGGGTAAGGAATTATAACCGATCTCGATAATACGTCGTGGGTGGTTGGAAGAAGTCAATTTCTTCTGTTGAGACCTTTCATTAGAGTACCTTGATGAATAAATTCAGTATCCCCTTATCCCCCCAATTTGGATATGAGGTTAAAGAGAAGGGCGGTAGTTTGTAGAAAACAGTTCCTTTCGTTGAGACCTTTAATTAGAGTACCATGAAAGATAAAACCGATTCCCCGGCCGCCAACGACAACGAACCGTTGACAGACCTTTCATTAGAATACCATGAAGGGTAGAACGCGTGTTTACCCCCCCCCCCCTCGTTATTGGGGTCGTCCACATTTGAATTTTCGAAATATTTCTAAAACCAAAAAAGGCACACATCGTGAGCATAAATAATGTCTTCCTTTTTCTGTTTAGCCGGAAATGACCTCAACTCTTTGTTTTTAAATGCAACGCCCTGTATATTTTATTGTAATCGCTCCCTACCTCGACAGGTGCTTCATTTACTATGTACTGAAAATATGCCTGTACCGTGTGCCCTATTTTGGTTGACACTGCAGTGTATCTCGGCTGTTTTTAAAGATAGCAAGTTGCGCTTTTCGCCACCCCTGTACCACTTTTTTGTGAAACTTTTAATACCACGAACAGAATCAAGCTGGCTACGTTTGTTTCTGAGATACAGAGTGTAAACGAAAAGTTTGACTTGGGACGTTATCATATATTACGTAAGATAGAAAAAAGGTAAAACTGCCTATGTTCCATATATTTACGTAGAGTCCAGTGGCGTAGTAAACAAAATTTGCACCACTGTTTCAAGAATTTGACCTATCAACGTTCCTGATGACATTTATTTTTTAAAATTGTAGCCATGAAGATCAATAAACCTGATGTTTTACTGTTTTTATCTAGTAGACAATGGATTGATGAGATTTTGTTTTGTTTATTGTATCTGTGATAACAAGGCAGCCAAAATCAACTTCATTCATTTACGTGGTTTTATTTATTTACAATTAACTAACAACAAATTTATAACAGTCTTCAAATGGATTAATTTATAACAGTAATTATTATTTATCACTAATTTATAACATAGCACAAGCGCATCGAAGTTGGAACTGTCTGACACGCAATTCGATTTGCTTAAGTATATAGCAAGCAACGCCTCTTTTTCGAAAGATCCCGAATGCAACCGACTATTCTAGAATGTTCTCGAACAAACACGTCATATTTCTCGTGAAGATTACGTCACACATGCCCTCGTTCTTTATCGTCAATGACTTATCTTTCATGACGCCTCGATATCTATCGGGATTTCTGGAATATTCGCTACAATACAAAAAAAAATCGTTAAGCCGCTTGTGAGCAAGAGGCTAAGTGCACTTTTAAATTTGTTTTTTCGATTTTAATAGCTCTTATGGACATTTTATGCCTTAACGAGAATACAAACATGAAATAATTTTTAATGTCTGATCGAATGACACCAATACCAAGTCTGTAAGTGGTGTAGTTCCGGAGCCTTTGTGATTCAGACAGACAGACAGATATAAGGAATGTAAAAGTGCACTTTTTATTTTCTGAATGTGAAAGTGCACTAAAAATATAGCTTACATAAGTAAGTGGATACAATCCATGGTCTATGCAGAATGCCTAGGAATTGAAGAAAATCCACGGCGCCTTATTTACTGTGATACATCAATATAATCAGAAAGAGAATGCAAAAAATTGCCGTTATATACACGGTGTTGCATTTAAAAAATAGCAATTTTGGGTCAAATCTCAGAAAGCGCGGTCCAAAATATTTTTTACTAGACGCCACTGGATCCTACGTAGAAATATAGGGTTAACAAAAAGTCAGTTTCCGTTTTCGCCCTGTATCTCAGAAACAAACGTAGATAGATTGATTCTGCTTGTGGTATTAAAAGTTTGACAGATAAATGGTACTGGGTCGCGAAAACCGCGGGTTCCAATCGGCAAAGTTCTATCGACTTTTTAATTGTTCAGTTTCAAAATTTTGGATTGACTACGAAGACATTCTGAGATGCAACAACGAATGTTGCAAAAATTTACTGCAATATCTGTTCAGAGATCCAATTTACTTGAAATGGACCATGCGGACCATAACCTGTTTGCGAAGTAATTTATTAACTAGATAGATCGGAAAAAACTGACATTCATACGCACTCTATGATACTCTATTTGCTTATTTTAAGGCATTTAAGGAAATTATCAACTTCAGCTGACAATGGCTTTCAGACTAAGTAATGCAGGAATAATACGATAGCACTAACATATTGCCGAAAACCTTTTAAAACCGAAAGTCGAAAAAAGGAGACCTTACAATAATTATTGAATGCATAAATATTTGTTATATAAGCACAGCAATCCCTTTATAAGTAACGGAGATCTGAGACTTTTTACTTACCCTGTACCTAAATTAAGTGTATGACTATAATTCTCGTGTTAGTAATCGATTTAAATCTTATTATTTACTGCCGCTTTAATAATTACCAAGAATTCCAAATGATAGATGGTTTTGGTTTTTAGCGGAATTTTTCGGAAGAAAAAAAAACCCTTAGGTGAGGGTTTTGTCCGTCCGTCTGTTCCTTGTCTTAACTTGAGAACGAAAAGAGACAGCGATATCGAACCTTTGCCAATCGATTTCTACGAGTTGAAGGATCAGTGCTATTGAATATGAGCCGCATGAAAAGTCCTCTTTCCGATCGCGAGCCGAGATTCTTCATGTTTTGGGGCGGTCCATGTAGAATGCCTAGGAACTGGTCCACGACACCTTATTTATTGCTGCCAGTACCTGTCGCGGCGCCAGGACGTGCCTAGGAGGACTTCGCCCCTCGGGTCGGACAAAAGAGCTCAATTAACACGCTATATATACAACTTTTCAGAAACCTATTTGTATAATAAGTTGTTCATCTTTGAACACCATGTATATATTTCGGCTTTGTGCTAACTTTCCGAACCTCTGTTGGTGGGTGTAAATTGCAATTAGAATTTCTCCAATTACCAAACGATGGACTGGGTTACATTAATGGCTGAACTCCCCTGATCAAATTTGGCTAAATTATAACTCAATTTCTTCCTACGGTCCCTTCGCTCGCTCGCCCGTGCAATTTTCTAGTCCGCTAAAGTGGACTAAATAAGACAAACGATGCAATAAGGCCCCGTCGGAATGAGTTTCGTTGTTTTTCCCTTATCGCCTCATTCGATAATTTCTCGCGTCGCGGCCACTTCCAGGGGGTGTGGGGGCGGTTCTTTTTATCGAAATAATCAGCTGGAAGCGAGAATATACAATCGAGTCAGTTTATGTAAAAACTTGATGATTTAAGCTTGCGTCAAGTTCACATGAAAACTCAAGGTTTGAAAGTGTGTGCGCGCTGTCGCCTTTACATACGGCGGCATCGTCACCGTCTACAGTCAGTTGCTGGTGGAAGCGCGCGAGTTGAACAACTCCTCCGTGTCTCTTTTATTTACTTATCTCGCGTTATCGCGGCACCGAAGCTTTTAAGTAGCAACGTTCGATATTAAGTTGCGTAAACATTTCGGGCGAATTATGTGATTACTCTGAGGACGTCAGTGTTTTTTCGTTTGGTTTTTTGTGTTATTTTTTCGTTGTGGATTACGTTCGGGCTCGGCGCCGATGGTGAGGCAATTTTTGTGTTTTTGATAAAAGAACAAACTCGAATGCGGCCCATTGTTTGCCTAGGCGGAGGGCGCGCTCTCTCCTTCATTCAAATTACGAAAATAAACCTCCACTCAAATCCCTGATATCTTTTGCCAAGACGTAGTTGTGCCAGTTTTCGATATTATAATGCCTCGAATTGTTGTCTACCATCTTGCATCATAAGGTTTTGCTTCAAGGTTGTAGGTTATTGCTTCCAACATTCCTTAACTCTTTAAAAGCACGGTGTACGACCTCTGGTGCATTCAAAATATATCTAAACTTCGCTTATTAATTATAAAGCGATTTCGTTGTTATTGTTGTTCTTCTTAGTTCATTGTCACCGCGTTGTTGAAATCGCCTAAGTAAACAAGCGCACAAAAAAATCACGTGTTTACGTGTGCGTGTTAAATTGCACATATTACCTAATGCGATTTCAGGTAATGTCGCAATTGAAATTCTCGCTCCGACTGAAATGGATTAATCTTTTACAGTTAAATTTGCGGTGAGTCAATCGCCGCAAAACCGAGCCTAGGCTTCCAAGATTTTTTTGCCGTTTATATACTCCGAAGAAGACGAATCGTGTGATTCACGATTCCTCGAATCGCGCGTTCGCATTGTGAAAATTGGAAAAATTCGTAAAATCATGAATCGATTGCGTTGATCAATCAGATTTTCCACGCTCGTACAATCGAAAAATTCGATCTGAAATGACGTCAATAATGAAATTACCCGCGTATCGTAAACGTAGTAATACCCAGTTTTATCGCTTATGATTTATTGCTCGCGATATGTGCAACGCTGCAATATTGAAATCGTGTACTTTGCAACTCGGGCAAATTTGTCTGTGTCTGTCTGTCTTTTTCTTGTTTTTGTTTGTACATTTGTATTTCCTTATCATTCCACTTTCAACAACACATCAACTCAAAATCACCCGATGGATAAAGTTGCTTCAATAGTACATTTTTTCAGATCTAAGAAAAAAGGAAAATGTAATAGACAGAGACAGAGTTACAATAATTAAAACTAAGACCTACAGTTTTCAATGAATTTTGATATTTATTGCGAAGTTAGCAGCTGGGTTTGCAGTATACAAGACTAATGCAATCTTTGGGGTAGTAGAATCTCGACTAGAACTATAAATTCTGGACACGAACAGACCCAAAATACAGGTTCTGTAGTGCAACTCCAAAATTTCAAAATGTGCACGATTCGGTTCAAGGATCAGTGCTATTGAATATGAGCCGGATTAAAAGTCTGGTTTCTGAATGCGACTTGGAGTGGCAAAAAAACCCTACTGAAAATCACACACGATCTTGTTTTAAGGTTTGTATGAATGTCCCACGGGCCACGACGAATACCGATTATCTATATCTCGAAAAGGATATTATGAACATTTGACAATATAGTAATGTCAATAGAGTATTTAGACAATGGTAAGAGGAAAGGAATTCATCCTCGAATTTATCTAAAATATTTTCAAGTTTGTGTCACCTTTATATCGAACCTTATATCGAAAGTTGACATACTTTAAATGCAACACCCTATATATTATTACATTTTTAGATTCCAAGTAAAATTCTAATTCATGTATCATATAAAATTCTTATGCCAAAAATGCCGCCCAAATCATACTTGTCAATTATTCCTGTATGAGAACTGTTATTTAATTAGGGCGGGTTTTCTTTTAGAAGAGGCTCGAGAAGAGGTTTCGCTTTAGTGGACTGTGCTGATTATAAATAAATACAGGGGTTTGAAAAACTAAAATTAAAAATTGAATTGAATTTTTTTTGGAAACCATGTATTTTTAGCGTATTTTTGAAGAATGTTTGTTTGCGTTTTGTCTGTCTGTCCGTCCTACTACTTGTAGAGGAATTGTCCTAGAGTTCTGGAAGTTCATGCAATAATTGGTAACCTATACCTTGAAGGAATGTCAGACGGCTTTCAAATTTTGGTGTCTTTACGGAGAGCCCCGAGGGGAAAATCATTGTAGAATTTTGGTGTAGACTATTTTATAAAATTTTTAATATTTTTTAGATTTTACGAATTTTTTGGAATTTTTGTAGTACTTTTTTTTTAATTGTCTGGAATTTTTTCCAAAAAAATTTTCCGATCAAAATGAAAAGTTGAAAGGAATTGGTGGGGAGGGAGCTAAGGGGAGCTGGTTTTATCCTTCATGGTACTCTAATGAAAGGTCTCAACGAAAGGAATTAATTTCTGCCGACCCTCATCATGATCGGTTATAATTCCTCATATCTCAAGAAAGTGTCGGAGGAGGGAGATTTCTTACCCTTGTGAAGTAAGCAATAATCAATCAGCGAGTTAATCAGCAATTGATTGTGCACATTTTTTGTTAATAACGTTAAATATGCAAATCCTATTAAAGGTGTTCGGACACTACCAAATATTGCGATTGATATTATATTAGGTAAATCTACACAAATCATTCCTTAAATATCGCTAATAAAATTACCCTTTAGCCTTATTTTTTTATACATATAATTTTTAAACCTGGTCAATTTTTTGACATAATGAGAAGGAAGGAGGTGGAAATCGCAGATAAAATTTTGCAGGGATAGATCCATATCCACCTGATCTTTGAAAATTCTCGTTAATCCACAGAATATCCTTGGATTTCCATGGATATCCCCGGAAATCCACGGAATATCTGACTTTACAAATCTGCCAACATCTTGTTGGGAATTTCCATCATTGACTATCCATCTGGATATGTTGCGATCATACTAAACTACACTTGAAATTGAACTATGGGTTCTCTTCAAATATAAAATCAATTAAGAGGTACTTACGCAAGGAAACGAATGTATTGTAACGTAAATAAGAACATATATTGAATTACGTGATTTATTTATTTACAATTAATTATTTAATTTATCACATAAGAGGGGGAATCTTACTAATAATCACTTCGGCATCGATGTTGGAACTACCATTAAACAGGTCGATTTGCTTTATGCAATTTGTTCAATATCTTTTTTTATTTTGCGAGATGCGAAAAAACTGTGTTTTAAATACCACGCATTTTTTTTCTTTGAAAAGAGGAATCAATTTGCTGTAACACAACAGTACCGCCCATCCTGACAGCACACGGAATGCTTGATTTCATGTTCTAAATATTGAATCACAAATTTCTTGATTTTTTGTATATCAACCATATATTTAAAAAAAGAGACATTGCATTTGAAAAACAAAAATTCCGACATTCTTGGAAATTCCCGAATATCCGCTCATTCGCTTTTGTTTCTTATCGCCGGTTTTTAATCTTTTATTGCGCCTGGATGGCTGCTGGCGCCCCGATGTCTGGGATACTCGCTCCATTAAATTAATGCAAGACAAATCTATCTAGGTATCTTTTTCTGGGTACGTTGGTAGTGCAAAAACCTCATCAATTTTTTGGAGAAAACGGCAAAACATCTTGACCTTGACGGGTAGGAGGAAGATTTTCATAAGTATATAAGCGATATATAAGTATTTAAAAAAACACGCAATAAAAGATAAAACATTTTAATAATTAATTAATAATAATCTTTTTGAAACTTGTTTTTTTAACTCTTTGAGTGATTTAGGTAGGTAACTGATTTGAACTAAAAAATTTAATGATTCCAAAAGATTAACAATAGATATTTGAAAAATTAAAGAATTCAAGTTTTTTTGAAATTTTTGTCTATTTTTCAATTATTTAACTGATACTGATTTGAACTAAAAAATTCAATAGGTATTCATTCAAAGAATTAAAAAAAAATTCAACAATCTTTTTTAAATGTTATTTTTTTAATTATTTGACTGATTAGATTGACGTGGACCTCGATGTGGACTAAAAAAGTCAATATTGATTTAAAAAGATAAAAAAAAGATAGAAAAATGTAATAATCTTTTTGAAAATTGTCTTTTTTTAACAATTTGACTTATTTAGGTAACTGATTCGAGCTAAAAAAATCAATATTGTTTGAAAAAGATTAAAAAAAGATGTTTGAAAAATTAAAGAATTCAACAATCTTTTTGAAATGTTTGTCTATTTTTTTAATTATCTGACTTATTTAACTGATTTGAACCAAAAAATTAAATATTGATTCAAAAAAGATTAAAAAAGATTAGACAGATTTAAAAATTCAACAAAATTTGTTAAATTTTTGTTTATTTTTAAATTTGACTGATTTAACTGATTTTAACTAAAAAATTCAATATTGATTCAAAAAGATTTAAAAAAATATTAGAAAAGTTCAACAATCTTTTTGAATTTTTGTTTATTATTTGAAGCTTTAAAATTTTTTAATATCTTTTTTAATATTGTTAAATCTTTTTTAAATTTTTTCGAATCATTTGAATCTTTGTTTAATTATCCCTGGTATGTGCAGATTATTCAACACTCATTATAAAAAAACCTTTTTGGTATCCCTTCTAAGAAAATATACCGCATTTCTGAAATTGGCAATTTTTTTATATTACCCCGTATTTCTTAATCGATCCAATATATTTTACTTACCATTTGAAGTTTGACGCAAAACGAGCATATGACGCCTATATTACTTTTTAGGGGAATTTTTCGAAAGAAAAATCATTCCCCTTATGTGATAGTTTTGTCCGTCTGCCTGTGTACCGTCTAACTCGAGAACGAGAAGAGACAGCGATGTCAAACCTTCGCCAGTCGATTTCCAAGGATCACTGCTATTGAATATGAGCCGGATCAAAAGTCTGGTTTCCCAATACCAGCCGAGTGGCAAAAAATTCCCTTACTGAAAATCGTATGCGATTCTTCGTTTGATAAAATTAACAATTAAGGAGATACCCTAGAAAAGTGTCAAAAATGAGACACTCTGTAGTTTCCGAAAATAGCACCGAGTTTTGGTGCACTGAGATACAATTATGAAGAAGGTACAGTAAGGATTTCGGACGAATTTGTGACAAGACTGCGAGGTCATTACCTTCACTTCTTCGTGCCGTTTTTTTAAAGAGAATAAGTG